CTCTAGTAGTTGTTTTGTCTTTTTGCTATCTACCACTGGCCATAGTCTTCGAGCTGTAGCGCAGTCCTCACGGTGTTGCCGCGTCTCTTACTGCTTGGCTTTGATGGCAGTTTCTATAGCCTCCTTCAGTGTGTTGATCGCCACAAGTGGTGGGTCATCTGCCACGGCCTCTCCCCTGGCCCCGTCTTTGGCGAGTCTGTCTGCTTCTTGATTGCCCACCACATTGCTGTGGCCTGGCACCCAGCACAGAGTAGCCCCGCCCCGACGCAGCCAGGACAGTGCTTCTCGGCATTCCATCACAGTTTTCGATCTCACTGATTTCATGGTGATGCTTCTTAAAGCGGCCAAGCTGTCAGAGTATATCACTATATCCCCTATTGGTCTACCAGCAATTTTCTCTCGTATACATCTAGCCGCTTCCTTTATGGCGTAAACCTCTGCTTGTAGAACATTACAGCCATCCGATAGCCTCAAATATCGTCGGATGTCTTGTTTCTCTGAGAAGATGCCTACACCTGTGCCCCCTGAATTTGCTAATCTCTTGAGTGTTCATTACTCGGTTGCTTTTCCATTCTTCTCTTGTCGGGATGCGAATCCTTATCTTTTCTCCTAAATCATGTTTGGTGAGCATATAGTCCGTTTTCTGGTCTAGCAGATGTGGACTCGTGTCCACCATGATTTTCCCTATCACTGGCAATATCCTCGAGTGACCGTAGTTGGTCTGGTTCCACAGATTGGATTCCCTTAATCTTAGGGCACCCTTAGCGGCCAGATCCTTCACGAGCCAGTCGATTAATTGCAAGTCCAGAATTGCTTCTAGCGCAGCTTGCGCTGTGTTGTTCCTTGCTCCAGTTGTACCTAGAGCTGCTAATCGCTGTACTTTTGTGAGGCTTTTTTCTATCTCTTTAAGTACCGCTTCCCACCATACTAGTGCTCCATAAGTGATGATTGTTTACTATAGTGTACTATAGCAGAGTACATCCAGTGTATAATGTACGGTTGCAGACCCCATCTCTTTCCAAATAGTTTTTTACGTGCATAGAATGCATTTATTCCCTTTATCATCCTTTCCTCCGTGTTTCTTTTCCAGTAAAGCTTCGAGTCCAGAATGATTCCCAAATATTTTGTTTCCTTAGCAAGTACAAATGTCTTATTCCCTTCCAGCTTTGGTAGCGTGAATTTGGGTATCTTATATATTCTTGTAAACAGAATGAGTTCAGTTTTGTCTGGGTTGACGCCTAAACCATTCCTTTTTGCCCATTCCGTTATCTTCTTCAAAGCAGATTCCATGATGTCACTGATCGTCTGCAAGTCTTTGCCAACGATCAATATTACCACGTCGTCCGCATATGCCTTTATCCTAATTCCCTTCATTGTCAGAGAGGTCAGGATCGGGTTCATTACAATCAGCCACAGCAGAGGTGATAATACCCCTCCTTGTGTGACGTGCCTCGTGTTTAATGCACACTTTTTGGCTGAGCTGTTTCCCATCTCCGATGTGATAGTCCTGTTCTCTAGCATTTCTAACACCCAGTTGATGGTTAACTGCTCTACCTTTAGTTCCCTCCATGGCTTTTTTGATCGCCTCTGTCTTAACATTATTGAAAGCACCCTCTATGTCTCAGAAAGACACTAATGTGTATTCCTTATCCCTGAGGGATTTTTCAATTGTAGAATACCTACTACTGAATGCAGAGCACTTTCGACTGACAGAGATGTTCTTACTCTTAATAATTTTCTGTAATGTGCTAACACATCTATTTCCTGTCATTATTCTTGTCGCCATTTCTTGAGTTACGTTAGAAATACGGTTTCTAGATATGTGAATGTATCTACTTCCTCAAACTTGTATTGTTTCCCTCTCTCAGAATCTAATTGTAGACAACAAAATCTCTTCTCAAAATCCCCATCTGACCACTCCATAAACTTCCTCTTCTTCTCATTAAACACTAAGTCTACTTTTTGCGCTTAATCTTCTAGTCTTTTAGTGACCGATATCAGCTCTTTCCGATCTCTTGCTAAGATAACTAAATCATCTGCAAAGGCTAAGCATTGGTGTCTTTTTGTATACAGAAGGCCTTCTCTGTTGATTCCCGCTTCTTTTATAACTTTTTTTAATACTAGGTACACTAAATCCGTCCCTGATTATACATTTTAACATTGAAAATGTTTCTGTTATCCTATATAAGGGAGCCCAAATCGAATTAAAATGCTACATTTGCCACATCACACCTTCATTTCATGCTAGAATGTAGACACAACAGTACACTATTACAAAGTGTCTATATAGATATTTATATTATGTGTATACGTCACATTTTTACAAGGTGTGTACTATAGACACAACTATGACACGAAGTATCACACATACATATGACTTATACATTGTATGTCTCATATACCGACGTCAGATTTCATCATTTTAATAATTATTTGTTACGTTACAAAAAACTCTTTAGAATCTTGAGTGCATACAACTAGTAAACACTGTATCACACAATTCTATCAATATAAACTTTATGCTAGAACTAGATAAACATTTAGGTTCACTTTAACATATGTTGTTTCTCATGTGTCTCCCTTGTAGAAACGTAATTTCATTTGGACGTGCTATATGGGATACTAAGCATGAATATTTCACAATCTAAATATAAGTTGTAATTACATATTAAGCATGAATATTTCATCAACTAAGATTAAGAAAGGACCATACACACTACACTTAGCTACATTCCTAATGTAATATCATTTCAAATCACATATTTATAACTCTATTCTAAAACATTGGATAACCCTAATAAAAGTATCCATAATTCATAGTCTTCTGATGTAATATTAAGTTAATTGTTTTAAACTTTTTTCTATTTTTTAATTGATTTTATATGTTGATTCAGTAATTAATTTAATATTGAAAAAATACCCTTGTAATTGCTACACAAAAAATTTTCATTAATTGAAAATTCCACTATATTGTGTTTTTATAGATTTTTATAGCGCCATAATATAAAATTTAATATTAAGGTAGGTAATATAGAACTATCTACGAGATGAGTAATTTAAAAAAGTATGTACTTTTGATTTTATTAGTGTTTATTAAATATAATTATGGACAAGTAAGTGGTAAGTAATGCGTATTTTTTATTGTGGAAATAGAAAATTGTAAATTGAATAATATTATTTGGGAAAGAAATATCTGATGATGAGATATACTGAAAAAAAAGTATACATTTTTTTTTATTAAGAAATTGTGCGAGTTTTTGTTTAATTCATCAAAATGTATTATTTATGATTAAATTTAATCAACAAGAAGTCTAATTTTATAGTTTCAATTTTTTTCTTGTAGGTACCTTGGGTTTAAGCCGGTCCTACACGATGCTTCCAACGTTGGTTCCAATATTGGAATCAATGTTGGACGCATCATTTGTTCATAAAATATTCCGAATATAGCCTAATATGTAATCGGCTATACATATTTATTTACTTAACTATTATTATTGTTTAAATATATAATTTGCTTGGGTTATTTTTTACTGCATTGTGCCATTGCATCCAGTTAATAAATACATTAATACCTCGAATATAAAAAAATAAATTCAAAAACATTAAAAAATTTATCAAAAACACGTTGATCTGCACGAAATGAAGCTTGCCAATCACTATCTTTGTCTTCCAATGAAATAAAATCCACGTTGGAGTCAATTTCTGAAGACGATACCGAAAATCCTAAAACCCAATTAGATGCTTCTAGTCTCCTTAAACAATTCAAAAGTCTAGAAATGGGTTTTATGGCGGTATTTTGGACGTTTTAAATAGATTAGATGCGGTTAAAAAGCTTCAAATGGTGGATATTGATCTACAACTTGCTGTAGATTTATATAGCTCATTGAAAAAATATTATTTTCTGAAATTATAAATCTAGATAATACTAAATCATTTGAGGAATATGAAAGAAGGACCATAGAATTGTTCGATGAGAAAGAATATGCGGCAGATAAAAAGGGAAAAGTGAAACGGAAAAGGCAATTTAATGAAACCAGTGATAATGAAACTTTATTTAACGCTAGGGGCGATTTTAGGATAAATGTATTTAATGTTATTATTGATAAATTAATCCTTAAAATTTCCTACAGGAAAAATGCCTACAATGACTTTTCAACCAAATTTGGCTTCTTTAGTGTGATTTATCTACTTTAAGTATTGACGACATTACCGATAAGTCCAGACATTTAATAACCTGGATATAATTTGGATAACAGGTTATTAAACCTGTTATCCAAATGATTTAGATGAGTCAATGCCTAATGAATTAATACATTTTCGTGAATTTATAAAATGCATTAAGTCAGCAAAACCATCTGCTAGAGAGCTTCTTAAAGTAATTTATGAAAAAAAAAACGCTCAAGACCTGTTTCCAAATACTTTCATAGCATTAAGAATCCTCACATGTACTTTTATTACTAACTGTCCTGCTGAATGCTCGTTTTCTGCATTGAAACGTATTAAAACTTATTTACGGTCCACTATGGAAACAGAACGTCTAAATCATTTGGCAGTTTTACATATTGAGTCCGACCTTTTAAAAACTATCAATTACGATGAAGTAATTGATAATTTTGCGAACAAAAAAGTACGTAGAAAACTTTTATAGGTATAAAAGCAAACCTTATAGTTTTGTTGTTCGTTTGTTGTCATTTTATATGAATATTTTAATATTTATTTTTTTTTCTGTGTTGATCTGTTCTGTCGGTCTATTCTGCTGTTGGTTCTGTATTCAAATAAATGTTTTTTATATCCGTAATTTTTTTAACTAAAAAAAATGTTAAGGGGCGGCAATTTTTTTTGGCCTGGGGCGGCAACTTCGTTAAGTCCGGCCCTGCACATAGTGTGGGACCGACTTTATTGATATACGTTGTATAAATAAAAAATTATCTGTCTTCTCTTGTAAAACACCTCAGAAGTATTAGGGATTAATTTTTATTATTAAATTATTTTTTTTACAGACGAGGAATACGCATCTATGCCAGACCTGTTCTATCATGACAATTTTGATAAATGCATGTTGTTAAAAGAAAAGGCATTCTATTGTTCCTTAACTTACCAATTGAAACCTTTAAACGAAACTAGTCCTCCAGATGTGTGGAAAATTATACAGGTATATAGTTGATGTTTGATGCTTTTGATGTAACAGGGTGGGTCAAATTCGACGCTTTTAAATGGAGACACCCTTTTCTATAGGAGATAGACGAAAACTAATATCGGTGTCTGGAGCTCAATTTTCTTCAAAAACATGATGGTGAAAACCGCACATCAATATCTGTTACCGTTTCGGAGTTACGGGGTGTTTTTCAAAAATGTGCATTTTTAACAAATCGCTGTAACTTTCTTGCTATGGAAAATTTTGTATTTCTATGAAAACATTACCAAAGCACCTTTTTACGCAGAATTTAATGGTTTAAGTATAATTTTTTTAAAATTAATAATTTAAGAGTTATCAACAGGAAAATTGATTTTTTATTTGGGCACCCTCTATATTTTTAATTAACTGAAAAGAATTTAAAATTACCTTTCCAAAAATATAGCACACTTGATATTTTGTTATAATCCCCTTCGAAATACAGAATTTTTAAAAGTTTGCCACTTTTAACTAGTAGGCTTTGGACCCCTTATTGATGATGTGCCCTTAATGGAACTGGAAAACATATTTCTCCAGCAAGACGAGGCACCGTCTCTGAACGCTGAAGTTATTATTTTAAAGATTTAGTTAATTTGGCATTTTAAAAATTTAAAGAATAATTGAATAGCTAACCAAGATTCCAGCCGTTGGCCGTCGAGGACGCCTGACTTAGTGCCCACGGATCTATAATCCTATGGATATATTTGCGGAAAAATAAATGTTCCTTATTCTTCGGTATAATCTAGACAAGAATTAGAAATACTTAGCAGTTATGAGAGGGTATCTTTCACCCTCATGGAGTTAATGAATTCCGCGAGAAATGTTCAAAAACTACCCCGTCTGTCCATAACAGAAGACGGTCGATATGTCGAACGCCTGTAGCAAAATCTGATGTCTTGGTTTGCTATTTATTTTTATTGTTATTAGATATAGTTTAAATGTGTTGATGTTGGTTAAAAAACCAAAATGTACCAATTCCTATTAAAATAGAGGGCAATACCTTAGAACAGGTCTACAAGTTCAAATATTTGGGGTCCTGGATAGTTAACACCTTGAACAACGACGTGAAAATAAAAACCAGAATAGATCAAGCGAGAAATGCATTTTTAAAAATGAAGAACGTCTTCCAGAACCCCAGATTGGACCTAGAGTTGAGAACTAGGCTCGTTAAGTATTATGTTTGGTCAATCCTATTATACGGAGCAGAAACATGGACACTGAAAGTTCAAGAGATGAATCGCCTCGAATCGTTCGAAACATGGATATATCGAAGAATGCTTAAAATTCCATGGACAGCCCATATCACCATATCACAAAAACCGAAGTCTACAACAGAATAGACAGAGAGAGAGAATTGCTCAATATAATAAAAATAAGAAAAACATCATACTTAGGGCATATATTAAGAAATGAAAAATACCACGTCTTACAATTGATAGTTAAGGGTAAGATTGAAGGAAAGAGAGGTCTCGGCAGGAAGAAACTATCTTGGTTGAGAAACATCAGAAACTGTACTTACCTAACTTTTGAAGAACTTATAAGGAAAGCCGAGAAGATTTTGCCAATGTGATCGCCAACCTCCACGAAACAGACGGCAGGTAAAGAAGAAGAAGATGTTGGTTAAATATATTTAAAATTGTTTGGTTTGGTTTGGTTGGATAAAATTCTGCATCTCTCACAGCAAATATTATTTCCGTTTTAATTGATGCTCACAGCTAGAATTTTTTTGCATTACAGCCGGTGCCGTTCAAAGCCTACTTATTTAAAGCGGGCGAATTTTTATATATTCTATATCTCGAAGAAGAATCGAGCAAAATATCAAGTGTGTTATATTTTTGGAAAGGTAATTTTAAATTCTTTTCAATAAATTAAAAATATACAGGGTGTCCCATATAAAAAATCAAATTTTCTGTTGATAATTCTTAAATTATGAATTTTAAAAAAATTATACTTAAACCATTAAATTCTACGTAAAAAGGTGCTTTGGAAATGTTTTCATAAAAATACAAAATTTTTCATTGCAAAAAAGTTACAGCGATTTGTTAAAAATGCATATTTTTGAACTCCGAAACGGTAACAGATATCGATATGCGGTTTTCACCATCATGTTTTTGACAAAAATTGAGCTCCAGACACCGATATTAGTTTTCGTCTATCTCCTATAGAAAAGGGTGTTTCCATTTAAAAGCGTCGAATTTGACCCACCCTGTACATAACAACAACAGAAGAAGAGAAGTAGAAGGAAGTAGAAGTTTTCATTAACCATTATCTCTGTTAATATTGTCATAATCATCATCATCATCATCCTCAGCTTATTCAACCATTTGCAATTAGGGTGTAGTGTCCTTCACATATTTAGATAATCTCTTTGTAATTGGGCCCATAGTTGTCTATTGTTGGCTATGCGGGCCCAAGTTATCCCTGGTAACTTCCTAATAGCATGGTCCCATCTCAGGTTTGGTCTTCCCCTAGGTCTCTTAATTCCTCTTGGGTATCATGCTGTAATTTTTGTAGTCCATCTGTTGTCCATCCTTCTTGTCAGATGTCCAGCCCATTGCCATTTGAAGAATTTGATTCTGTTGATGACAACTATTACCTGGATCTTTTTTCATCTCAACTCTATTCTTTTACTGTCTTTCTTGGTTATTCCCAGCATATTTCGTTTCATTGAGCGTTGTGCGATCTGCAGTTTTCTTATAATGTCTGTTTTAAGAATCCAGGTTTCGCATAGGTCATGACTGATAGTACCATAGACTTAAAATAAAATATAGACTACACTATTTACATCTCAACGCGGACAGACAATATTTTTTGTACACATGTTTACTTCTGGGTACAGTCGACCGAGCCTTCCTATAGGTATAATATTATCAATATTTTTTTTCTTGTTATACACATATATTGAGATATTAATACTACAGTTTAATAAAGTAGGTTTTAATATTCCAGAGATGTATTAAATAGTCCTTATACTACTAAATTATAAGTCGGATACTGTTTAAAAAGGATAAGTCCTTTACAATATGACAACACCGATTAGAGGCGAGGGAGCCTATTCATTCATTTATTACCTTGTAGTACGTGTCGCACGTGTGCGGTAAAGCTTTGTTGCCGCTATCTCCCCGGCTGTATTAACGCATTTTCTTAGCTTGTAGTGCTTAAGTGTTTATTTTATTGACTTTTTCTGTTCAAGAACTATAAAATATGGTTCGCCAGTGCCAAATTTGCAAGAAATTTGACTTAAATAATCCATTTAAGTCTTGAAACGACTTTTGACCGGTAGGCAACTCTCAATTTACCCATTGGGAGTCAGTGGCGTTGTTGTAGAAAGGCGCTTATTTAGATAATATTTTAGTAAAATGTAAAATCTGAATTTTTTCTCTTACATTACATTATTTACTTACTTACATTGTAACAAAATCATAATTATAACCCTGTTAATAATTAATAATGTTTTTATTAAAAATATATTCCGGTTTATTCTAAAATGATCTTCAGAATCTAAAATAACATACAAGAATTTTAAAATGATATTACATTATGAAACAATATTTTTTAATATACCGGGTCGTCTCAAAAGTTATCTCAGAGTTTATTTTATTTTCTCAGATAAAAAAACAGATTTGTATGTTAGTAGGTATATGACATAAATTAGGATTTATTGACGTATTCAATTGTTTTTGGTCTCTTCCTGTTTCACCGAAATGATTACATCTTTTGATTTTTAAAGGCACCCTCGGAATATTGTTTTTTTATTCGATAAAAAATGATACTCTGAATAGAATGACATCATATGTCAACTTTTGACATTGTCGCTTAAAAACAAATCCTATTTTAAATTTCAATCCAGGGTGCCATAGTGTTGTTAGAAACACTAAGTTTTAATCAAGGAGCCTTGGAAAAATAGTTTTGATCGTCTAATGGGTTTCGTGTCTTGTCTAGGCCGGTTAAAAGATGTACAAATCGTATTTTTAATCATACATATGTCAATTTTTTCAAATGGAACAAGGGACTCATTAGCATATTTGGAAAAAGCATTTTTTTATGAATATATTGATACCACACACTTGGTATTTCGAGTCAAATTGTCGTTATGAACCGCGTGTTTCAATTACAATTAAACCATATGCGAGAATGTCAAAAGTTGACATATGATGTGTCATTCTATTCAGAGTGTCATTTTCTATTGAATAAAGTAGAAATATACCAAGGGTGCCGTTTAAAAATTAAAAGTTATAGTCATTTCCGGTGAAACAGGAAGTGACCAAAAACAATTGAATGCGTCAATCAATCCTAATTTATGTCATGTACTAACATACTAAATCTTGTTCTTTTATTTGAAAATATAAATTATTATTATGGGGATGAGCCACTTTTGGGACGCACCCGGTATAATAAAGACAGTACCGAGTTAAATAAATGTAGTTTTCATTTTATCCACTTCCTATCACCTTCCTTGCTTTAATGGAACAGATTTATGTTTTCTCTAATTTACATAAGACATCACTTAACCAGAAAAAAAATTACAACAATCATATTTTTTTTCTCTCCCTGTCGCCGATTCTATTATATTTGTGGAATAGATCCTGTTTTGATTAATATTAGGGGTTGTAAATGTTTGACTAAAATTAATAATTTATTATTCATTTCAAAAATTACGTAATTTCGATTATAAAATTTCTTCTATAACGTGTATTTTATTATTTATATCCTTTTTGGACTCTAAGACGTTTTTTCTAAACTTTTATTTAAAAAACCTGTCCTAAATCTTAATAAAATATAAAAAAGTTTAAATACGATATATTTTTAATTTAATTATAGCTTCATTAAAATAAAAAAATTACCCGGCTATGATACGGAGAGTTCAGGTGTACTTGAGAAACGAAAGACAGTGTTGTGTTTCTCGGTAGAGTCGTCAGGGAACGACCGTTACGACAGAGACAACCTATCTATCGCTCGTGTCGCACTCGTTATAACCTAAAACAATAACACAACAATAACAAGACAGTGTCTGACCGCATGTTCCAGCTATTTATGAATGAGATGCTCAGTCTATATTTTATTTTAAGTCTATGGATAGTACACATTGGTCGAATGTTTTCTTCTTTAGATAAAGTGGCATTCTAGATTTGAACATGATTTTTATATATATTTTAATACCGTACGATCGAAAAAAAAACGGCGTCTTCTTCATTTCAGCCATCACTGACGCCGTTTCTTTCAATCATACGGTATATTTTTTCTTTATAGAAAGTCAGCAACGTTTCTACAAACTACAGGCATGACAAGTTGAGGCATAGCATATGTGTACCACATTCATGCCCTAATGTGTCCAAAGCGTCAGATGATGATCCAAAGTTATGGAAAGGTATCCAGGCTTGTTATGATAGTAAGTTTTCAGCTCGAGGACTAAAGGGTGAAGTGACACAAATGAGTTGCGATACGCAGGATTCCAAATATCCAATTGATTGGCTTGATATAACATATGGGTAAATCATCTTAGTTAAACTAGAATTTGACACACCGGGTGTTTTTCAAAAATGGCTCAACCATATAACTTTTTTATTTTTTTTTCAGTTAAAAAAAATATATATTTGATATATTGGTATATGACATAAATTAGGATTGACTGACGTGTTCAACTGTTTTCGGTCACTTTTTGTTTCACCGGAAATGACTAAAACTTTTGATTTTTAAATGGCACCCTTCGTATTTTTTACTTTATTCGAAAGAAAATGACACTCTGAATAGAATGACATATGATAAGTCAACATTTGACATTTTCACTTAAAAAAAATATTATTTTAAATTTATATCTAAAATGCTATGACTATGTTAAAAACACGAATTTTTATTCAAGAATTTTTGGAAAAATAGCTTTGATCATATAAAAGACACGAAAAACATTAGACTTGTTACCCGTTAAAAGATGACCAAATCGTATTTTTAATCATATCTCAATTTTTTCAAAGGGTGGATCATGGGCATATTTGGAAAAGCATTGTTTTACGAATAATTTGGTACCACAAACTTGGTATTTCGAGTCAAATTGTCGTTAGGAACCGCATGTTACAATTTCAAATAAATCATATTCAAAAATATCAAAAATTGACAATGATATATCGTTCTATTCAGTGTCATTTTCTATCGAATATAGTAAAAAAATACCGAGGATGTCATTTCAAAATCAAAATTTGTAGTCATTTTCGGTGAAACAGGAAGTCACCGAAAACAATAAAAGACACCTTAATCAAATCTGATTTATGTCATATACCAACGTATCAGATATATTGTTTTTTTATCTGAAAAAATGAAAAAGTTATTGGAGTGAGCCACTTTTGAAAAAACACGTATACATATATTTATTATTTATTTATAACACCATATACTAAGAAACTTTTTACTATGGACGCATGCTTTGCAATTTTACTATCTCCAGCAAATAATCAAACTTCAGGTCATCTTCTGGTTTGAATTATTTGCTGAAAATATTAATGATTAATAATTCTAATGAATTTTATTCTTTTAACAGCTGCTAAGCTGAAAAAATTTGCTAAATAGTCCACATATATCTTCTAAGTATAAACAGTTCAGGTATTATTCTACACATGTTAATTATAATTTCATATTTGATTTATGAATCAAGACTACATAAAATTTTTGTAACAAGCTAAAGTACTGATTATTTAAAACATTCATTAAAGAACTTGCACAAGAATTTACACAGGGTGAAATAAGTGAAAATATTTTCAGGGCTAGTAGATCTCGCCAAAACATATTTTCTCTTTACCCTTTTTCAAATAAGTCCAAAATAACCGAGATATTTTACTTTGAAATTCTCCAATAAGAAATATATTTTGGTTTGGAAAATTTTCAAAAAATTCCAAATTTTCCAAAAAAAAAGTTTTGCGAAAAAAACCTTATAACCGTGTTTCTGGGTTCGAAATATACAACCCGTAAAAATATTTGCACTTATTTAAAGACTCACCCTGTATAAATTTAAATTTTAGTGTAGTTTTGGGTGTTTATGTGGTTATTGTACTCTATGCTACATTTCGTGAGGGCGTGGCACGCTACGACTCTAAAGAAGTATACGATAAACTGATGGAAACTCCCAAAGGAAAGTTGCTGTCTGCTTTTTCCATTACTAAAAACTGGATAAGATTGAAGACAGTAAATAGTAATAAAGAAACGGAAAAGTTACGATCCATACAAGTGATAAGGTAAAAACATTTTTTTTATTATAAAAAACAATAAAGAACATTTTGGATAACTATAATCCAATAATCCACAGTATCCATATTCGCGCTATGTTATAGGTTAGGTTAGGTTATATTGTGGTTACGTGGAGGGGTGTCTCACGTGGGTAAAAAATGTACGTGTACTGCCAAAATATAATTTTACTGCCAAGCGACTGCCGATGACTGCGAAGAAGACTGTCAGATTGCCCATGTCTGTCATATGATTATACTCGACTGCCGTAAGACGAACTACTGCCGTAGAAAACGTTATTATTGAAAACATAGACCATATTTAGGTCATAAAATCAAGCTGGGTAAAGAGAACCAAAATACGGAGATCAAACGCAGGATCCATTTGGCATTGGTAGCATTTGGAAATATGAGCGATATTTTCAAGGATAAAAAGGTGCCCATCAATCTAAAGAAAAAGGCTTACGACAGCTGCATTCTCCCTGTGCTTACGTATGGCTTAGAGACTATGGCAATTACCCGAAAAATAGCAGAACAACTTCGAGTAGCACAAAGAGCCATGGAAACAATCATGTTGGGAGTCACCATTAGGGAAAAAATACGGAACACCCACATACGTCAAAAAACAAAATTAATAGATGTTGTTAAAAGAGTGGCAAGTCTGAAGTGGCAATGGATAGGACATGTGGCAAGACAGGATCCAGACCGATGGGCCCAAAAAGTCATCCTGTGAAAAAAGTGTGGACCGACCAAAAAAGAGATGGGTCGATGACGTCAGAGCAGTGACAGGAAGACAATGGATAAGATTGGCTAAAGATTGCGAAGCATGGAAAACGCTAGAAGAGGCCTATATCCAACACTCGATGGAACTAGGCCGAGAAAGAAGAAGAAGAAGAAGCCGTAAGACCGATGTTAACCACTTCCGGCACTTGCCAAGAAAATGTACTTGTTATTCCAACAAGGAGACATTCCTCGTGTTACGTTATTTAATATGAACGAGAATGTCTGTCTTAGTTCATTTAGTTCCACATAGTTTGTATACATAGAAACATATGTATATATTGTATATTGTTATCATTGTGTCTATGATTTGCGGTTTGTATTTCGTTTAATATTTTGTCAATAAAAGATGGTGGAGGATGGATTTTTATTAATGTATTTTTTATTTGGTTTATATCTCTCTTTAGCGAATTGTCCTCTGAACATATTATGGGCGTCCAGACCTGAGGAGTTGAGTGCGAGACGAGCGCGAGACATTCCAAATTTACGGTGTTTTTCAAAGGATGGAGGGGTCTCGCAAGAGCCTCGCGACCGTTTCGTAGCCTCGAGATATTACCTCTGATATTATAGTGCATATTGAAATGGAGACTTTCAGGAAGAAGATCAGCTGAAATTAATCCATTTATATAAAGAAAAACCAATATTATGCGATCCAAAAGATAAAGAATATTAAAAAAAACACGATGCGTGAGTAGATATGTGAATAAAACTTGGGAAAAATGTAAAAAAATTATTTCTCTACTGGCAACATACAGGAAGGAGATTATTATAGGAAGATTAATTATTATTTAATCTTGTTACTTAGTAAATTAAATATACAGGGTGAGCCAACCATAAAGTTCATTATTTTATTTGTTTTGAGAATTATTAAAAAGTGTTTTAGAATTATTAAAAAAATAGAAAAACTGTAGAGAAGGTTAAGATACACATTTTAAATTATTATAGAGTATACAGGGTGGTTCAAAATAGTGTTACGGATATAACATGGTTTTCTAAATGTAATACATTATTTTTTTTTATTTTTAGATTCTGCGTAAAATTTTATAACTTTTTTTATATATAATGCGAGGTATAATGTTAAATACCTAAAACTAATAGTTTTTGTAATATTTCAATTTGCTTAAACAAAAAATGTTAGATTTCAGAGTCGTAAAAAATTGTCATTAATGCTATTGTTTCTGAAGTTGGAGTGCTAAAATTTGTTAGTTAGTTTAATTTAATAGTTTTATTTAAGTTAGTTTAATTTGATAAATTTATAGAGTCGAAGAAAGAGATATAGGTAAAGATATTTTAGTTTGATGCTACAGTGTGCTCAACATATATTTATGAATATCGACTATTTAAAATAGAATTTGTAAATTCTATTAATAGAATTTACAAATTTTGCGTCACTGGCACTTTTTACCACCGAAATCTAATATTTCTTTAAACAAATTGAATTATTACAAAATCGATTATTTTAGATATGTATATAATATGATATGCAAAAAAAGTTACCGAATTGCACGTAGAATCTAATAAAATAAAAAATAGGGTATTCCTATTAAAACATACCGCGTGTGAGTGAGTCATAGTGTTATTTTTTCTCGAATAAAGTAAGAAAATACCGAGGGTCCCATTTAAAAATCACATGTTGTAGTTATTTCCGGTGAAACCGGAAGTGGCCGAAAACAATTGAATATGTCAATCAATCCTAATTTATGTTATATACTAGCATACCAAATCTCGTTTTTTTATCTGAAAAAATAAAAAAGTTATAGGGGGTGAGCCACTTTTGAGACGCACCCGGTATATCCGTAACACTTTTAGAAGTACCCTGTATACTCTACAGTAATTTTCAAATGTGCTTTTTAACCTTTCCTATAACATTTCTATTTAACATTTTGTTCTAAAAAACGAATTTTGTAAAAGGCGTTGTGTCTCGAAACAAATGAAAGGTAAAAGGGGAAAAAATCGACGATGAATAAAATACGACAAACCAAATATCATGTCAAAGATATAAAAATTTATTACTTATGCGTTATTATTTGCTGCAGGTTTTTTATCGGACATGTTTACACAAACCGGTCACCTTTCACTATGATCCAACTCGCTTGCCTCGCTCTTGTCTCGCTCTTGTCTTGCTCTCGTCTCGCACTCGACTCCTCAGGTCTGGACGCACCATTATGTTTGCCCTATCATATAAACTTTTATTAACACCTTTTTTGTACTTATACTGTGATTAGATGTGACATTTAAGTATCTGTATTTGTAGGTTTTCTGTAAACATATAAAATTAGTGAAATTACGAATAATATAACGAATTAAAATGCGTAATTATTGTCTTGTTATATTAGTTTTCACTTTCGGGATCTTTAAAAAATTGTTTCTTCTTGATTTATTTGTAGGGTTAGCACTAAGAGTAGTCCAGTGGCCTCCCATCTATGTGTTAGGACGATTGACATTCAGTGCCTATTTAATACACTTGTGGATACATTTGGTCAGACTAGGTATGGCAAGATATCCAACGTACGCTAGTATTACCACCCTGGTAAGTTCTTATCACTATGAATAATTAATACATAAAATTACTAAAATTTAAAACCACTTTTATAAACATTGGGGTGTCCGTTATTTAGAAAGTTGATCATTTCTCTCACGACGCCCTCTCAATTTTTATTTGATTGTCTAAAAAAATAACAGACCATTGTAAACCCTTAATATTCACAATTAACCTTGCCCCAAAGACGATTCATTTCCCATTAAAATTACATGAGAATTTGACAATTTTGGCAAATATTTTTTTTCTAGCCGGACCAGCCGGACCATTCAACTCTCCAACTTTTTTTTAAGAGTTTACCCAGTGGTTAACTTTAACCGTGAATAACGTTTGAAAGAATTGGTTTATCGAAAAATTGCAAGAGACCTTTTTTGTAGAGCGGTCAATTCTGTACAGAATATGCCATGGTGCCGTGGCTGCGAGAGAACAAGGTTGATACATATGTCTTTGGGGCAAGGTTTATTGTGAATATTAAGGGTTTACCACGGTCTGTCATTTTTTTAGACAATAAACTAAAAATTTAGAGGGCGTCACCGGCGCCGTCGTGGGAGAAATAATGATCAACTTTGTAAATAACGGACACCCTAATAAACATATATGAAGTATATTATATTTTCTAAAATATATTTGCATGTTATTAAAACAAGAAATTATACAGGGTGTCCCAGAAATAAGTGCAAGTATTTTAACTGGTAATACAGTTCAACCCCAGACATGCCTATGAAATAATTTTGAAAATTCGAAATTTTTTGAAAAATTTTTTGGAATTTTTTTTAGTTTTTAATATATATATATTTTTTATTAGTTTTATATATTTTTTAGTATTATATATAAACCATAATTTCTTGATAATATAGCAACATAGATAGTAGATTAAATTTACAAGAAAGAAAATCCAGAAAACATTCACTGGTTCTCAAAATCATTTTTCTTTTAAATTTTCAAAGTAAAATAACTCCGTTATTTTCGACTTATTTGAAAAACGATAAAGAGAAAATATGTTTCTTTTATCGAGATCTACCACCCCTTAAAATACTTGCACTTATTTCTGGGACACCCTGTCTTGAACTAATCTTGTTATTCAACGGTTTTGAACAGTATTCTATTTTATGCTATGGTGCATTATAGCACAGTATGATTTTTTTATTTTTTGAATGATATTTTTAATCTCGAGACACTTCCCATACAGCACATCAAATCACATTTACGATGTGTTTACATTATTAAACGTAGACACAGGGTGACACAATTTCCCCGATGTAAATATGCTACGTTTACACATTGTAGTTCAACACGTATGCACAAAGGTTTAAGGTTTTAAACGTCCGCCTCACAATGTAGCCACAGTATAGCATTTACGTCTACACAAAGTAAGGGATACACAGTGTGCCGTAGGATTCACAGTGCTTGTGTATTACGTTTAAACTCACTTTACACATTGCAGTTGTGACTACCGTGTGTATACGTATGTATTTTGCTTCGTATATACATCTTGTGTTAGATAAAACTACTTCTTATGAATGAATTTAGGAAATAATACAAGTTAATTTTTCGTTCTTTTTAAGAAATATTTATTCAATGATACCAATTATATCTTTTTAGAACGAAAATTAGGAAGGCAAAACTTTGTATTTTCCAAAAGTATCTCGATTGGAAGTTCAAGAGAAGTAGCCTTAAAATTGTTCCATTTTTGTTTTGTATTAAATGTACCACATTTCTTCCATAAAATGGATTAAGTGGTTAAAAAATAAAATTCTTATATTTCTTTATATCATGAAACGCAATATCGCTAATAACACAATAATAATAATTATTTACACTGCAGAAACTAGAAGTAAGAAAACACTGTAAATGAACAGAATTTGTATAAAATGTATTAAAAATATAAGTACCTAGTATAACAACATACTAAAATAGTAAACACTGGTATATCGCCACGATTTGGTGGACCTCGTTTAGTCATTTTTTTCTCCTCTTTTCCCTTCAAGCAGTTCGTTTGTTAGCATACTCATTCAACGAGCACTCTGTTGGACTTTGTTGTATTTTATTTCCAGACTAACAATCTCACCCTTAAATTTTATATGAAACGGATTATTGAATATTAAACATATATGTATATTGATCCATCAATAACTTACCGAATATCAGAGTAAGAAGTTCCTTGAAGTGTTTAAATCTTTCTTTCTCTGGTCCATTTAGATTTTTATTATTTGAAATTAAAAAAAAAATTATATTGCAGAGCTAACCTCTTTATCATTATACGAGAATATTTGGAGTTTTCATTCATTGGAGTCAAAATTTGGTAAATTGTGTATCGAGTAAGGGAAGAGTCGCTGCTATAATATTAATAATACTCTTAGGAAGGTATAACAAGGTAATTAAAAACTTGTGCTTACCTTAAAATCTCTTTTAAAATACACACAAACAGAACATTTTTATATAGAGCTTCCGAATGATAAAACAATAATGGCTGCTAACACATACCACTCCTAGAAAGGACAAAGGAGATATACACATAAGATACACTTGGTCGGTGTGTCTACGCTGAGGCTATCCGCGCGTGCGCTCACCTTCATTTCATGCTAGAATGTAGACACAACAGTAAACTATAACAAATTGTCTATATAGATATTTATATTATGTGTATACGTCACATTTTTACAAGGTGTGTACTATAGGCACAACTATGATACGAAGTATCACACATACATATGACTTATGCCCGGACCCCATTGTTTTTCCATTTAATTACATGTATTGCGTACACACTAGGCAACACGCCACGCCATCCGATGCTATAACACGCCAGGACACGTGTGATGGTCGATTCGTCGGTCCCAGATCTCACCGACGTGTGTTACGGCGTGTTGTTCTCCGCTTGCCTCTCTAGTCCCGCAGCTATCTACTTTTGTAGTTGATGTAGGGATGCCCCAAAAATAAAATAAATCAATATTTTGAATCGATTCAACATCGGATATAACAAGATAGATCCAGAAAAAAGCGGCAACAAAAGATTGATCCCCAAAAGATTGATTTAATAATATCGATATTCGATTCTGAATATATTGGTGTACTGGTATTATGATTATAATCTAATATCGGTATGGGTATCGATACTTCTAGTATTTTCGTAATAAAAATTCGTGTTAACACGAGTTAACAGGTGTTACCTAATGTGTACACCCATTCCCACGTCGCAACACGTGGGATAGCGTGGCATCGCGTGGCATCACGTCGGGTGTTGGCTAATGGGGACCCAGCTTTATACATTGTATGTCTTATATACCGACGTCAGATTTCATCATTTTAATAATTATTTGTTACGTTACAAAAAACTCTTTAGAATCTTGAGTGCACACGGTATACAACTAGTAAACACTGTATCACGCAATTCTATCAATATAAACCTGCGTGTATCTCATATGTATATGTTAAAACTAGATGAACACTTAGGTTCACTTTAACATATTTTGTTCCTCATGTGTCTCCCTTGTAGAAACGTACTTTCATTTGGACGTGCTGTATGGGTTATATTTAATTTAAACATATAATTTTTTAATGGAACACAAATTTGCCTTTGAATCAATACTCTAGTTCAAAAAATAAAACCCTTCCTACTGAAAATATACACGATATTGTATAATATTTAATATTTATTTACTCCATAACATTTATACTATTCCCTATAGTTGATCGTCTCTGTCGGTGATATAGCATTGGCATACATGTTAGCTACCATCTTGGCGCTCTTGGTTGAATTTCCTGTATCACAAATCCTGAAGCAACTTTTTTCCATTGAAAAAGTGGAACAGACAACTGAAAAAGACGAGTAAAAATTATATGATTTTTCTTTTAAATAAATGTTCTGTAGAAATTATTATAAAATGCCTTTTATTTCCAACTCAACGTTGTGTTTAGTGGTGAGCAAATGCAAGACCAACTTTGGTGTCGATCTTGCAGTCTAAGACCACGGCCACATACACACAGAAAGCAGGGCCGGCGGAAGGGAAATATTGATACCGGGTGAATACCCTCCCTGGCGCCCCCCCCATAGTTAACATGTTAACATAACAACTAAGCATATTTATGCTACTTTAACAATAAAATTTCATTTAAAGGTACTTCAAAGTTCTTCTCTTCGTTCAATCTTAGTCCGCGGTTGTTGTTTTTACTATACCGGGTGCATCTTGAAAGTGACTCACCCCTATAACTCTTTTATTTTTTTAAATAAAAAACGAAATTTGGTATGTTAGTATATGACATAAATTAGGATCGATTGACGTATAATTGTTTTTGGTCACTTCCTGTTTCAACGAAAAACTATTGATTTTTAAATGGCACCGTCGGCGTCGCGTCGGTATATTTCTGGTTTATTCGATAGAAAATGACACTCTGAGTAGAATGACATATCATATGTCAACTTTTGATATTTTTGCTCAAAAAATCGTATTTTAAATTTCAATCTAGAGTGCCATGGCTGTGTTAAAAACACTAATTTTTAAACAAGGAGCCTGGGAAAAATAGATTTGATCGTCTAATGTTTTTCGTGTCTTGTCCTGGTCGGTTAACAAATGCCCAAATCGTATTTTTAATCATATGCCAATTTTTTCAAATGTAACAAGTGGCTCATTTGCATATTTGGAAAAAGAATTTTTTACGAATTATTTTTGTAATGAACCGTGTTACAATGTTACAATTTCAAATAAACCATATGCGAAAATGTCAAAAGTTGACACATGATGTCATTCTATTCAGATTGTCATTTTCTATCGCATAAAGTAGAAATATACCGAGGTTGACATTTAAAAATCAAAAGTTTTATTAATTTCCGGTGAAAGAGGAAGTGATCAAAAACAATTGAATACGCCAATTAATCCTAATTTATGTCGTATACTAACATACCAAATCTCGTTTTTTCATCTGAAAAAATAAACAAGTTATAGGAGTGAGTCAGTTTTGAGACGCACCCGATATATAAATGATAAGTACATATAAGTGATCTTTGAAAACATTACTATTTAGTTGCAAGCAATTGGCATTATTTTTCTATAAGAATTTAAGAAAAAATTATTTTCTTTTTCACAATCAATTATTTCGTGCAGAATCAGTATAGGTATGATCAGATACTGTTTTGTCGGCTTCAAAATGAGGATCAGCCAGTGTTTGAGATTTGAGATGCATTCATTTGTCTTGTTTTAATGAGAAATTTCGACGATTCTGCTACCATTTACCATGTATTACTACATATTCAATCCAGAACAATCAAAATCACCAAAAGATTGATATTTTTCCCACTACTGTTAATAAATTAATGAGGCAAACTTACAAGCTTTTTTTTTATAATAAGGATATCGGGATCCTATTTAGCTTCTTGCGAATGAATATTTGATTCATATAATTTTAGGGCAGATCGGCCATTAACAAATAAAGGGTGTGGGTAGTAGACAAACTGCAATTTTTAGCGGTCAGTCTAAAACTGTCAATTTTGTTGGCTCTTGACCCAAAACAGTTTGTTTAGAGAAAATTTATAAAAACAAGAATTATAGAAAGAAGGGTTATTTACAAAAAGTTGATAGCTTTTCAGTTATAAGTAAAATACCACAAACAATTTTTTTTAAATATTTTAGTTGCTGACGTGGCGCCCCTTACATTCGGCGCCCCGGGCGGTCGCCCGGGTCGCCCGGCCCTTCCGCCGGCCCTGACAGAAAGCGATTTTTGCGTTTTTTACCTGAAGCGTCTTTCACGACTAAAACAAAATAACAGGATTATACAGGGTGCTACAAATTCGAGGTACGAGCATTCGTAACTCGGTAGCCGTAATAGATACGAACATGGTTAAATTGGGGCAAAGTTGCGCTTTGGGATGTGCACCAAGATGCCATCAAAAAAGTTTTAAAAATTTCAAGGATTGCTGAGTTTTTTGGAAAAGACGGATATTTTTGAAAATCAATTTTATTTTTTCCTATCGATACTTTTTAGAAAATCAAAAAACTAATTGCACATTCTCATAGCCACTTTTTTAGGGCTATCTGATAGTACTTTTAGATTTTCAAATCAGCTGATAATTTGTGAGATACAGAGGCTAACTTATTTTTTTTAAATACGGACCTACATTTTTTATTTCAGATTTTGAAAGAACTCCTCTCTTGAGTACAATGATATGCCACACTTAATATTTTTTTTTTGTTTTGGAAATTTGGACAGAATTTATTTAAACTAATTTCAAGTCCGGCTCTGTTTTTTTTTAATATTTAATACATTCATCGTTACAATATTGATAAGCTTTTAAACTTAACAGTGACGTGGGTTGAATAGAGAAAATCAAATGCAATAAAATAATAAAAACATATAAATAAAATGTAACATAAACAATCACATCATTTCCCCGGAAGATGGATTGCAAATGGTAGAGCAGTATAATGGCCAGCGAGCTACCTGGACCGTCTGATGACGTCAATTAATTCGACAGGTCCAAATTTTACAAAAAAGTGAAATCAACACATCTCGGCAGTAACAATAAGTGGTCACAATAATTGGAAGCCCAATGCATTCGAAAGTATAAGAAGATCTATTCAATAGCTATAAATAAAATTGAACGAAAAGTAAATTTGTGCAATAGGGAGGGTGGTAACCCTTTCGAACATATAGACTATGTAAAGCATTAGAAACTAGTTTGTAGAAGTTAATTTATTCATAATAACTACGATTAATATTATGCAAATGATTAGATCGTACACTGATAATTTCAAATTCTCAATAAGAAAAGTTAAAAATAATATCTTTAAATTGCTGATCTGGATATTATTTATTTGAATCTTTCAATTGGCTCAATTTTCCGTATTCAATATTAATTAGTACTGATCAATATTGTTGCGATAAATATAATCAGATTAAATAATTGAAAAAACAGAGTCGGACTTAAATAATAATTAAATAGTTTTGTTGTTGTTATAGTACCCAAAACAAAAAAAAAGTATAAAGTGTGGCATATCATTGTACTCAGGAGACTGAGTCCTTTCAAAATCTGAAATAAAAAATGCAGGTCCGCATTTAAAAAAAATAAATTAGCCTCTGTATCTTACAAATTATCAGCTAATTTAAAATCTAAAAATACTATCAGATAGCCCTAATAAAGTGGCTATGAGAATGTGCAATTAGTTTTTTGACTTTGTAAAAAGTACCCACAAGAAAAAATAAAATTAGTTTTCAAAAAAATCCGTTTCTTCCAAAAAACTCAGCAATCCTTGAAATTTTTAAAACTTTTTTGATGGCATCTTGGTGAACATCTCAAAGCGCAACTTTGCCCCAATTTAACTATCTTCGTATCTATTACGGTTTCCGCGATACCAATGCTCGTACTTCGAATTTGTAGCACCCTGTATAGGAGTGGCCCGACCAAAAACGTGTAGCGTTCGGCGTATGTCGCAAAAGACGCAAATGAAAACACATCAGTTTGTTTTATGTAGCGTCTTTAACGATTTCTAAGATGAGACCCCGTCATAGGCGGACGTAATATTTAATAATACAATAAAAATAAATTAAATAGTATGCATTTTTTTTCATTTTAGGGTATTATCTAAAAATATTTTTATAGAGAACATCTACTGTTAAGGAAGATTCTATTAATTTGAAAATAAAACAAAACATATTTGAAAAAAATGTAGTTTGAAATGTTGAAAAAGTAATAAATTAAAAAAATATTCTTTACGCTTAAAAAAATTGTTTTTTTGTGTTAAAAATATTTTTTTACGTATAACAAATAGTCTTTTACGTATAACAAATAGTTTTTTACGTGTAACTAATGGTTTTTACACTAATAATTTGGTACTTTATATAATAATATAGGTACTACTAACTTTGGTACAAAAAACAAAAAACGTTTTCTCTGTGGCCGTGTGCTAATAGTGATGTAAAAATTCTAAGTAAGTTAAGTCTAAGAGAGAGAGAAAGAGAGAGAGAGAGAGAGGAATAATTACGTTTTCCATGTATTCTACAACATATTTATTAATCCGTAGTATCTAACTAGCGTGACGTCATAAATCTCGCCGTGGCTGTTCTATTAGAGACGGTATTGGTCTGATATTTAGAAATGTCAAAGCTAATGACATTTGACTTTTGACAATTATGCCATTTCGTGTTGATTTTTGTAAGAAGAGGCAGAACTGTGACTTGTTTTATAATTTTCCTTTTCTATTATTTTCTATTTCACGAAAGTAAAAGAGTTACCTATCTGATTCGTTCAGTCACTCAATTTAAAAGAGAGAGGGAGAGAGAGAGAGAGAGAGAGAGAGAGAGAGAGAGAGAGAGAGAGAGAGAGAGAGAGAGAGAGAGAGAGAGAGAGAGAGAGAGAGAGAGAGAGAGAGAGAGAGAGAGAGAGAGAGAGAGAGAGAGAGAGAGAGAGAGAGAGAGAGAGAGAGAGAGAGAGAGAGAGAGAGAGAGAGAGAGAGAGAGAGAGAGAGAGAGAGAGAGAGAGAGAGAGAGAGAGAGAGAGAGAGAGAGAGAGAGAGAGAGAGAGAGAGAGAGAGAGAGAGAGAGAGAGAGAGAGAGAGAGAGAGAGAGAGAGAGAGAGAGAGAGCGAAGCGGGAAAGTATAGAGAATAGAAGGCCCTTTTCATTGCGGTACCACTTGACCTCCCTTCCCATTGAAAAACTTTGGGGGATCACACCCCCGCTTAGAGGGTTGAAGATTTTGCAATGATTTTTGGGGCAAAAATTGTCCCCCTCACAAACAAAATTTACGTGTTTTTGAATTTTCTGAAAAAAAAAATTACCCTGGCCCTTATGCCTTGCGGAACGTTTTCGATGGGCCACCCTGTATTTATTTG